CCGCCCTAACAGGGTGACAGTCCCTCCTCCCGGATAATGCGCACAGTGAGCCTGAGGCTCGAGGCTAGGTGTAGCCGCCCTAACAGGGTGACAGTCCCTCCTCCCGGATAATGCCCACAGTGAGCCTGAGGCTCGAGGCTAGGTGTAGCCGCCCTAACAGGGTGACAGTCCCTCCTCCCGGATAATGAGCACAGCGAGCATGAGGCTAGAGGCTAGGTGTAGCCGCCCTAACAGAGTGGCAGTACCTCCTCCCGGATAATGAGCACAGTGAGCCTGAGGCTCGAGACTAGGTGTAGCCGCCCTAACAGAGTGGCAGTCCCTACTCCCGGACAATGCCCACAAAGAGAGTAACAGAGAGACTGAGAGGGATTCCTGGAACTAAAGTAAGGGCAGTTAGGAGTCGGGATAGCGACGGGATGGACGGCCGGTGTTCGATTCCAGGTAGACACAACACATTTCTCTGCTCGACATAGTTCAGACCGGGCCCCACACAGCCTCCTGCCCAGTGACCCTCAGAGGCTGTTTCCCCGGAGGTACAGCGGCCGGGAAGTGGATCGGAGCACGGACTTCCATTAAGTGCCAAGGTCAAGAATCGTGGAGCTATACCTCCACTCACCCATACATATTCATGCCACAGTGCTTTTCCTTCGAGGGAGAGTCAATTGCAGAAGTACGTAACGATGGGCGGGGCATGTAACACGCACGGGAGAGATGGGAAACAGATACAGGAGGGAAGGGAACAGTTGGGAGGGAGGATAACATTAATATGGATAAAACGGGGAGCTGAGGGAGTGGACCGGATTAGTCTGACTGTGTAAATGGTTCTGCTAATGTTACATTACATTCTGTGACAGGCTGAAGGGCAATGGAAGCTTACGTAACATGACTGCTGCAAACTTCACGTTTCCTGAGCTCTGATTCTGAATTTTGTGGTAGATTGTTAAGAATGTTTCGGAGGAAATTAGTACCTCCATCTTCATGGACTCACGTGTAAAGTGTCGCACATTCCTAGCAGCACCCTGGTGATGAGCTCGGGGCCATTGTAGGCCCAGATGTTCCCCCTGAAGTCGGTCCGGATCTGGTCGAGGCATTTGTCTGCTACCGCGCGTCCAACGCCTTCGACATCGAAGCAGAGGACACCGTTAGCTACCGTGTTGGGGGACTCCAATCCCACGTAGTTCGAGCCGAGGGGGTCCAGGGATCTGCGTCACACAGACTTGCCGTTACGTGTCTGGGGGTACAGTACTCAACTCGCCTGCATTTGACAGCCGAGGATCCGTGCTTGTTCTGATGCTAAGAGACCTGTGAAGGTGCGTCATGAGACGGTGACGCAGATGTGACTAGATTCTATTTGCAACTAACCGCGGGATCCCTTAGGCCGCGCCTTACCTCAAGCGGTTAGTCGCTGTCTTCCCACCGTGGCGGCCCGGGTTCGATTCCTGGTCTGGTCAAGTGGGCTTTATGGTGGACAAAGTAGCGCTGGGGTGGGGATCTCTCAAGAGTACTTCGGTTTCCCCTGCCAATCTTCATTCCATCAAGTTCCCCATCATCATAATCACGCGGGGCACTACAATAGGCCAATCAGTGGCCGCCGTTCCGAGTGGACCCCATTTTCGAGTACACCCCCCTCCCTAAGGAAATTATAAAAAACGTGGGATCCAAAGTCCCCTATGCCGGAGAAGTCACTGAACACACCCACTGTAACTTGCACTGGCTTCCCTACTAAAAGCACGAGGGGGGGGGATCTCGGCCTTGCCTCCCCCCTGGATTTTGTACAAAATCAGTTTTTAAAACTGATGGAAATTACAAAAAATTTAAATTTTGAATTTCCTCTGCCA